CGTGCCGGCGGGCGGCGGTGCCGGAAACCGGCGTGTGCCGGCGGACGACGGTGCTGGTGTCCGGCGCGTGCCGTCGGACAGCGATGCTGGGGACTGGCGTGCTCTGGTACACGGCGATGCTGGCGGCCGGCGTGTGCCGGCGGACGGCGGTGTCGGTGGCCGGCTTGTGCTAGCCGACAGCGAAACTGCTGCCACCGACGGCAATCGGCAAACGCAACAGATATGACAATCATGTGGGAAACGAGCACTGTCGATCAGACTGGTTTTTGATTCACCTTTTTTGGATCGATTCAATCATTGATTCACTTGATTTTCGTTTGATTCAATCACCGTTTGATTCCTTCAAAAAATTTGGTGAATCGATTCCTTTTGATTCAGAGAATCAAAAAACAATAAAAGGAATGATTCACGTTTGATTCAGCCAATTTTTTTTGAATGATTCTTTTTTGATTCAATTAAAAAATAAAATATACAAAATATCAGGGATAGTATTGTATTTGTTGTGTTCTTTTTGTTATCATGTAATGGCAGTAGTGTTAATATTTGTTGATAATGAACTATGTTCGTTCACTTCAATTTTTTTTAAAGTTCATGAATCATTATTTTTTGATTCAATCAATCCTGATTCCCAATGCGTTTGATTCAATCATGGCTTGTGAATCAAACAATCCTGATGGTGAATCAAACCTTTTTGATTCAACAAATTTTGTTTGATTCAATCCAATCGATTCAATCACAGATGAATCAAACACCAGTCTGCTGTCGATCCTGTATACTAACGCGGACCAGTACTTAAACAAGCGTGATGATCTTTATGCGCGGATAGCTGGGACGGAGCCCGACATCATGCTTATCACTGAAGCTTTACCCCAAGTCCGGGTTTCTGCAGTGTCTGCTGCACGCCTTGCCATTCCTGGTTACAAAGCTTATTTAAGCTTCATTCCTGATGTTGTAAGTTTAGGTACTGTAAGGCCCCATGGCATTTGCATTTATGTTCGCGACTCTTTGCCCTGTTCCGAAGTTAGGTTTCTTGCCAGTCCTTTCCGCGAACAACTATGGGTGAATATCCGTCTGGCAGGCAGCGACATTCTGTTGATTGGGTGCATATATAGGAGCCCATCCAGCCCACTGGAATCAACCAGCCAGCTGAGCCATCTGCTGGATCTCGTCGCCGCCTCACGACCTTCACACCTGCTGATTACCGGCGACTTCAACGCTCCCGACATCGACTGGGCGGCTGAGGTATCAAGGGCACCAACTGGACATTGGACGCATGAGCTTCTTGAACTTTTTAGGGGCCACTACCTCACTCAACACGTGCTGTCCCCAACGAGATACCGCCCTGGACCTCGTGCTGACCAACGAGGAAGGTATGGTCCTCGACCTCCGCAGCCATCCGCCACTCGGCAGTAGCGACCACGTGGTCCTGACGTTCACCCCGCCGCGTTACGCTGAAGACGAGCAAGTGGCAACACTGAAACCGGCATTCCACCACGGCGACTATGAGGCGATGGCCCAAATCGCACGAGAGGCGACCTGGCCTGTCTCTGACGGCTGCACTGTTGACCAACACTACCGAGCGTTTCACGAAGTCCTGGACGGCATCTGCGAGCGCGGCATCCCTAGGCAGCACCCAGGTGGCAGGAAGCGAAACCTGTACATGACGCGCGAGGCGCTGACGCTGCAGAACCGTAAGAAGAGAATGTGGAAGAGATACCTACTTACCCCCAAGATACCCTGGACTACTGCCGATTCTCTCGAACCAGGAACCAGTTGAAGGGACTGGTTAGACGACTCCGCAGGAATTTTGAGTGACAACTGGTGGAGAACCTGCCGGAAAACCCGAAGGCATTTTGGCGTTATGTGCACTCCCGCCTGACCACCAGAACAAGAGTGGACGACCTCGTCACTGGGAATGGGGATATGGAGTGCACGGACGCAGCTAAAGCCAGGGCTCTGGCCGAAGCCTACAGCAGTGTGTACTGCTGGGATGAAGACCCGGCTGACGTTCCAGCTATGAATCCCCAGTATGGATGCCCAACGCTGGAGGAGCTGCGGGTGACGCCAGAGCAAGTGGAGGGCAAACTCCGCGATCTACGTCCGGCAGCATCACCAGGCCCTGACGTGGTCCATCCTAGGGTGTTGCGCGAGCTGGCTGCCCCCCTGTGTGGTCCCTTGGCAGACCTCTTCAACCACTGCTTGGCAGACGGAAGAGTCCCAAGAGATTGGAAGCTAGGCCAAGTTGTCCCCATTTATAAAAAGGGACCTCGTGGCGATCCTTCCAATTACCGTCCTGTCAGCAGCCTGACGTCCGTGACGGCGAAAGTGTTGGAGTCGCTCGTGCGTGACACCCTGTTCGAGCACATGACAGTGGCAGGCCAGCTAAGTGAATGCCAGCACGGTTTCCGCCCGGGGCGCTACTGCCCAAAACAGCTTCTCAGCACACTCGAGGAGTGGACTTGGCTGATGGAGGAGGGCGAGCCGGTTGACGTCGCCTACTTGGACTTCCGACGCGCCTTCGATTCGGTGCCTCACCTGCGTCTTCTGCAGAAGCTCCACGACCTGGGCATTAGGGGACCCCTCCTCGAGTGGCTTCACTCATTCCTGACAGAGAGGAAGCAAAGGGTCACTGTCAACGGCAGCTTCTCGGACTGGGCCGCAGTCGGCAGCGGTATCCCGCAGGGCACAGTTCTGGGACCAGTGCTCTTCATCGCTTTTGTCAACGACCTACCTGGCTGCGTTGAGAGCACATGCAAGCTCTTCGCTGATGATACGGATGTGTACGTCGGAGCGGGCACGGAGATCGGCCGCAGAAAGCTGCAGCAGGATTTGGACGCCCTGGCGGCCTGGTCTTGGAAGTGGAAGCTGCTGTTCAACCCATCCAAGTGCGCAGGGCTTCACCTGGGCAGCCAAAACGTGCGAGCGGAGTACACGATCGAAGGCGCTGCACTGAAGACTGTTGACACGGAAAGAGACTTGGGAGTCCTTTGTCCAGATGGACAGACTGCTTAAATTCAGGGAGCAGGCGGCGACCGCCATTGGCAAGGCCAACAGAATCCTCGGCCTGATCAAGCACAGCTTCGTCCACATCGACTCCAAGACACTTCCTCTGCTGTACAAGACAATGGTTCGCCCGCACCTAGAGTACTGCAACCAAGTCTGGGGCCCGTTCAACGCGGCCGACGTGAGGCTCGTGGAGCGGGCTCAGCGACGGGCTACGCGCCTTGTCCCTGGACTTCGGCATCTGCCTTACGAGGAACGGCTGAAGAGTCTTAAAGTTCCCTCCCTCCAGTACCGCCGTCGACGCGGAGACATGATAACAATGTTCAACATCATGCACGAACGCTCCGGCCTGGACAAGGACGGCTTCTCGCCCGCCCCGCGTACATGCACCCGTGGTCACCGACTGAAAGTCGCCAAGAAGCCAGCGGCCAGCCGCGTCCGGCGCAACCACTTCGCCACCCGGGTTGTGTCGGACTGGAACGCCCTACCAGAGGAAATCGTCTGCTCGCCATCGACAAATGTTTTCAAGAACCGGCTGGACAAGCACTGGACGAACTATGCCTTCATCGCTCCACAATAGAGAAGACTGTTGATGCTACCGAAGCTGTCTACGACGGATCCACCGGGCAATCCTAGTGCCTTCAATGATTCCCAAATATCAGGTATCAGGTAGGTATCAGGTATAAGTCCGACCAGTTCCTGCACAAGAGCACCTCAAACCAAACAAGAGGCCACGAGTGGAAACTGCTCAAACCGAGAGCGAATACCCGGACCCGGAGAAACGCCCTCAGCACAAGAGTCGTCAACGTCTGGAACACCCTGCCGTCCACAGTAGTGTCTGCCACATCGGTTGTGCAGTTCAAGGCTCGACTGGACCGACACTGGGCGAACCAGATGCACAACATCCCGATTCCCTACCATTAAGAGCCTCGTTCTTACCTTGTCACACGTGCTCGATTGGAGCGGGACCACCAGGCCTAGTGGCCTTATTACCCAATAACCGATAAGGGAAGGGAAGGGGGCAATACAAATCGATGCACATTTGTCATTCTGAGGGGTGTTCACGGGCACCGCAAACTGCCGCGTGCGGTGTGTGCAGTAGGCGTGGGCGGTAGGGGTAGGAGATGGGTAGGCGGTTCTGACGTAACAGCTGCGTGCGGTGGACCGGTCGGCCAACAGCGGTCGCTGTGTGCGGTGACGGAAGGCTGACGTAGGGATGCAATGGGCGGAGCTTACAGCCTGTGTACGGCCCTCCAGCAAAAGAGTGGTTGGTTAGCCTAAGTGCTTTTGGTGTAATAACTTTGAATGACAGAGACACTCCTGCAAAATGACTCAATAGAAATGAGAAGAGGGTTCGTGCACACACTTCGGCAATGGTTTTCAACAGCCATTAGACGTATTCATCAGTGCAGATCGCTTATTGCGATGTTGGCAACCAACCACTAAATACCTGGAGGGTCGTACCTACGGTCCGACCGCACACAGGGCCCGTGAACAGCCCTCCGATGTACAATGAAAATATTTAGTTTAGGTGCAGGTTTATGTGAATTAGAATTGACAGATTAATGTGCTTAATAAGCCCCTCATAACCAGCCCCAGCCCACATTGACATGCTGCAGTAGTACCTAGTGAGCAGGCGTCACTCATTTGTGCAACCAAGGAGAGGCGCTATGCCCGGATATAGGAGACCTATTTGTAGGTGGTAGGTTACGTTAGGTCAGGCTAGGTTTGTTATGGTTTGGTTTGGTTAGAAAGAAGCATATCCGAGCTCTCTGGGTATAGCACCTTTCCTTGGCTGCTAAAATGAGTGTGACGCCTGCTTTACTACTATCCATGCTGCTTGGTGGACATCTGGGTCTGAATCAATCATTTAAACACTGAGACTCCCCTTATGTCTTGGATAAAAGTTTCACCCTGACAAGGGATTTCGATTTCTTTATGAGTGAGTGCTGTCAAAAGGTTACTGTAGGTACCTATGTCATGTGCATTGGTTGTGAATCACCTGACCACTCTCAACTCTGCTCCCAGGCACGAGGGACTGATGGAGCAAGAAGGAAAAGATGCAGAACAGGAGGAAGGTGAGCTGGTTGGAAATCCACTGATAAGTCATTCATGATCAGTCGGTGCTTCTTGATTATTTTTTACCACTTTCATAGTATAATATAATGTGGGGAGAGTATGAAGTATCAAGAAAAACACTGAGGCATTATTCCTCTACTCTTATGACTTTGGAAGTGCTTGTAGTTGGCAATGGTGTGCATATGAATTTGAGTTGCTTGTAATGGTGCACAATACACATGCAATTTTCATGGTATTATATTTTTGAGAGGGAGGAAAGCTGAACATGGGAATATGCTAATATGTAGGTACTTACTTTATGCATAGCAGCCCAACATATAATATTCATTGCCTTTTGCTGCATTTTAAGCTATTGAATATTTTATGACATATGGTCCCTATATTGTTTTCGCAGAGGTTATACCATCCTCCCAAGGGGAGATGTTTTCTTCCCAGTCGAGTACTCCAGATCTGCTCTCACCTGCACATCTTATTCCAATACTGCAGCCGTCGCAATCACTCAGTGGTAATGAGATGGGCACACCTCAGCATCCAAGGTTAGTGCCACAGATGTGGCATGGCATACTGTTTTCCAACATTAGACTGTTTCTCAGCACATTTGATTTTATGCATTTACTTTGGACGATATCAACAATATACTATGTGTCAACCTTTTAGTTAAGTGTGGATAACAAGTATGTTTTGGCATGGGCGTAGGAACATCACGAAAAGTGTGTGGGGGGGGGGGAGGGGGCAGCGAAACTTCAATCTCACTTTGTGGAAGCCCCATTACCCATACAAAGAAGTTATTTGCAGTTTTGTGCTTATTTCACCCTGGCTGAACCATTTCATGCTCTTAGTTTTGTAGTTAAATGAAAAATAAAGAGTTTACCTAAAAATGGCTGAAAAGCGCGAAGGGGGCATGGCCCCCGGCCCCCTGTTCCTACGCCTATGTGTTTTGGTGTACAGCCGAGTGTTTTCTGCCAGGTCGGCGGAGCTGCTGGCCTCCACCCCCTCAGCGTTTCGACCGGACGCCGACAGCTCGCCCGCCGAGCTCCGTCTCGACGTGTCGGCCGCCCGCTCGGAGGCCTGGCTCGACCTGTCGGAGACCCCGTCCGAGGTCCGGCTCGATCTGTCGGCGACGCCCTCGGAGCCGGGCCCGGAGCGGCCGGCCGGCCCGCTGAAGCGGCCGCGCTCTGCCGACGCGGCGGCTCCCACCCCGGAGAAGAGGGCGCGCACGGCCGCCGCCGGCGCGGACGACTCGGACATACAGTTTGTGGAGGAGGTGGCGCCGGACGTGCAGGTCGTATTCAACTCGCAGGCGGCCGAGTCGGCGCCGCTCAGTTCCGCCGCCGAGTCGCAGGCCGACCTCCGACTCTGCCTGTCGCCGTCCCAGTCGGAGGAGGTGTCTCAGCTGCCGGCCGCGCCGCCTGCCGGCTCTCCCGCGCCGGCCGAGGCCTCTGCTGAACAGACTAGCGAGCCGCCCGGGCCCACCTGCCCGTCTGCGGACGTGCCGTCCGAGCGCGGAGCCGCGCCAGCTGCCGGCGGGGCGCCTGGCCGCGTCGGCACGCCTCCGGCCGCCGGCGGCTCCGGCAGCTCCGGGCCGTCCGTCCGCCCGCCGGAAGAGTCGCCGGCCTCCTCGGACAGCCAGGGTTTCCAGCCGGCCGCCGAGCCGGGGTGTGACGCCGCCGGGGTGCGGCTGCCGCACATCCAGACGCCCCAGGTGGGCAGCAGCAGCGACTCGGTCTCGCCCGATGGCGACACCGTGTTCGGCCAGGCGCAGCGGCTGATCGAGGAGCAGAACCGACAGCAGCAGCTGCGGGCCGCCGACCCGGAGGGACCCTCGGCCACCGCCGCTGCAGGGCAGCGCGAGACGCCGGCGGCGGTCACTCTGGAGTCGGCTGAGCCGTCACCGGCGGCGGCAGAGGGCGAGAAGCCGCCCTCCACAGCGAACAGTGAGAACCCATCGTCAGGTGCAGTGGAAGACGATAACCGGTCATCAGCTATTGCAGTGGACACTGATAAATCGTCTGTCGTGGTGGACAGTGAGAATCCGCCGGCTGCTACGGGCGAGGGCGCCAATACTCCGTCAGCTCGGGAGGCGGGTGAGCAGCCGCCGCCGGCTGCCGAGGCCGGGGAGAAACAGGAGCGGGAAGGAGAGCCGGTGCATGCGGCGGAGCGAGAGCCGGTGCCTGCGGCCGCTGTGGCAGAGGGCGCGCCCTCTCAGCCCGCGGCGGACGACCTGCGCCCGGAGGACAGTCGGCTTGGCTCGCAGACAGACCTGTCGCAGCTGTCGCAGCTATCGGCGTGGCGCAGCGCGGCGATGAAGTCTCCGGGCCACACGACGGCCGAGGCGTCGGCGGCCGACCAGTCACGTGCGGCGGCCGCCGAGCCGAGCGGCGGCCGACCAGCGGCCGAGAGTGCGGAGCGGGAGCTGGGCGAGGACCCGCTGCCGGCCGCCTCCGACCCGTTCCGGTTCCACGGCACCCAGTCGCAGGAGACGCAGCCCTACCGCCTCCGACCGGTCATCATCAAGGTCAGTGTCCAGTCACTCCGGCCAGTGTGGGCCGACGGGCTGGCAATAACAGGTGGCAGTCAATGGTACGGCTACACAGCGTGAACATTCGTATGTAGCCCTCCTATTGATACTAAGTTACACTGCTCTTCAAATGATATTCAGTGTTGAGAATTTTCACGTAAACCCTTATGGCTCGCAAATAATGATATTGATTTATTTAAGTATCTGATTTACGTGTTTTAACATCCCTTCAGACTTTAGCTGTTCCCGTTTGAAGCCTCACATTTTCTATTTTGCTGGCAGTCAAAAACACAGACGTCAGACAAAAGTACGTCCACCGCGGGAGCGTCCGTGGCCGCTGATTCGACCGACAGCTCGTTTCAGAAGCTCGTGGCGGTAGGCAGAATACTGCGCACATGTGCTACATCGATTGAGCAAGGAGCATGGCTTGTTATTCTGCGGTGTCGGACTCCGGGAGTTTCCTCTTGGATTCAGGATTTTTAATTCCAACTCTGGGTTCTCCGCATGTCTGGCTCTCTAACTTCCATGTGCTTGGAAACCAGGCTCGCTTATCGTTTTTACCACAGGCGGCGGAACGGGGAGGGCACCAGGGCACCGTGCCCTCCTTTGATTTTGGCATTTTAATATTAGCCCTAATGGGCGTTGCATGGAAAGAATGGGACCAAAAGTCAGCAGTGCCCCCCCCCCCCTTAATTGAAGGTGTTCGGCCGCTACTATTTACCCATTTTTGAAGTAGACATCTACTAAGTACTACACTAATGTCCGTGTGAAGTATTATTCCATCCCAGCTGTTTATGAAGCCTACCACTTTGGCTATTTTTTTTCGATGTCTCTGGAAAATCTTCCTCCCCATGATCCGTCCTGGGGCGTTTTTGTGTTAATGCCAGTCAATAGAATTCTACAAAGAAAATTTCGTTGTATTTAGTTTGTACTATAGGTAGTCCTGTAGTAGAAACATTTACGATATGCTTGCATCATTTCTATTTATTTGATGTTTATCGCGTTTATCATATATTAAGCGGAGCTACTTCATTCCATAGCCCTTGCTAGCCATCATCGTCCTTAGCTGCATATCCAAAGTTAAAATGGAAAATTGGAATCGATCTTTAGTTCCTCGCACGAACCCGCTGGAGATTTGCACCTGCACCGATGGTAGTGACGTCATCGTTCACTGTGGACGCCGCACACTGCCTGCGGCCGGTCCGGCACCCTCGGCCGGACCTTAATGGTCCTCCTACCCCGACCGAACCGTGACGAGCCTCCCTGCACCTCACACCCGGGCCGAACTGTGATGGTCCTCCCTCCAGCCCCGGTCGAACTGTGATGGTCCTCCCTTCACCCGGGCAGAACTGTGATGGTCCTCCCTCCACCTGGCCGAATTGTGAATACTGTGATGGTGCTTTCCTATACCTATGACTTTCTCTATACCTCAAGGGGATTATCCCTATAATTGCGCCTCGGCCGAACCCTGATGGCCCTCCCTCCAACCCGGCCGAACTGTGACCCCCCACCCCCTCACCCCTGGGCATAGCTTGTGACTTCAATTTCAGTGTATTGATTTGCTAATTGCTATGCATGGTACCCTGTCCCTTTGACGACGGTCGCGTTTTATGGCACGCTGCTAGCCGTGCTTTTCGCGAGTTGACGTCATTGTTTGTGGTCATACGTATGATGTTATGCGACTGGGGCCCATCCAAGACCCAGCCACGACTTTCCATTAGCTCCCGATAGCGGCAACTTTAACAACTAAACTGATGACGTCAGCCAATAATGTGTCGTCCGAGTTTTATGATGTCTCCATGGAAACCGAAAACGCCAAAACACTGGTAGCCACTAGCAGCGTGCCGTGAAACAGGGGTGAGGTGTCGGCTGAATGAACTGAACACTGCTAGCATGGACCGTATGCAATGGAGTTGAATGAGTGTATTATGGATCCATGGAGTGTGTTAGCGAATGTGGTGTGGGAGTGAGGCTTACACATAACTTGCAATCAAACATCTTCCAGCCATGTTTGGATTACACGTCGACGTAGTAACCGTAAAGTTTTGTGAATACTCAGTCATTTGTCTTCGGAGTGTGCCACTTACCGGAGTCAGGGGGTCGGTGCCACCAACCTGTGGCCGGTAGCGGCGCCCGCCCTCTCGGGTGGCCGGTAGCGGCGCCCGCCCTCTCGGGTGGTCGGTAGCGGCGCCCGCCCTCTCGGGTGGTCGGTAGCGGCGCCCGCCCTCCCGGGTGGCCGGTAGCGGCGCCCGCCCTCTCGGGTGGTCGGTAGCGGCGCCCGCCCTCTCGGGTGGTCGGTAGCGGCGCCCGCCCTCCCGGGTGGCCGGTAGCGGCGCCCGCCCTCTCGGGTGGTCGGTAGCGGCGCCCGCCCTCTCGGGTGGTCGGTAGCGGCGCCCGCCCTCTCGGGTGGTCGGTAGCGGCGCCCGCCCTCCCGGGTGGTCGGTAGCGGCGCCCGCCCTCCCGGGTGGCCGGTAGCGGCGCCCGCCCTCTCGGGTGGTCGGTAGCGGCGCCCGCCCTCCCGGGTGGCCGGTAGCGGCGCCCGCCGGTCACGCCCTCTCGGGTGGCCGGCCGTCGTGTCGGACCGCGGCGCGCCTCTGCCGGAGCGCGTCTGACCGCCGCCGTCTGCCGGCAGAACATTCTGGCCGAGAAGAAGCGACTGACCGAGGAGGGCTACTCGCTGGCGGAACTCACCTGGAGCTGGAGCTGGCGCAAGGGGGACCAGGTGAGATGCCACCACCGCCGGGACTGCCGCTCGGCCGCCTGCCGCAGTGGTTGCTATATACTCATAATTGAGCTGTGATGTAGTGGCGTGTGATGCAAAGTTCACTCTCACTGCGGATCCAGCCGATTGCAATTACTCTAGCGTTCCGTCTGCAGTTTCTCAAAATACTTAAAACATCAACTACCAACGTACTTTCCCTCTCGCTGTTAGGTTGTAGAAAACGATGAAATTTTTCCTTTTTGAACACCCACTGGTTTGTTCACAATCTTCTGCTAATCTTCCATTTGTCCATCCGTCTGTCCGACCAACCGGCCGCCCGTTCGACCGCAGGAGGTAAAGCAGACGTTTCCCCTTGACGAGCACGACGGCGCCGAGCTGCTGCGCCGCATGGCTTCGTCCCAGCTGCTGTCCTCAACATCATCGAGCAGTCTGAGGAGCACGTCCACTTGTGGCGGCCACGCGGCGGACGTGTCCTCCAAGTCGAGCGGTGACTCCAGCTCCAGCTGCAATAAACGGTGAGATACAACAGCAAACGGTGAAGCCTGAAACAGACTCTTTCCTCAGTCAGGAAATTGCATGCGAGAGCCAATTTAATTACATGGAAGCACGCTCGCATCAATCGCACGCACCTCCCGCATGCGATTGATGCGGGCAGAATTATAATGTATTTGAATAGGCTCTCGCATGCTATTTCCTGAATTCGGAAAGTCTGTTTCAGCCCTAAGATCCGACCCCCGGAATAGACTCAACCTGACCGCAATAGCACATTGGGCTGGTTGACTGGGTTATTGTCGCGGCCCCGGGAGGTTTAAATCCAAAGAAATAAACATAATGCGTCCGGCGGCTGGCGGGGGTAAAGTTATTTAATGTATGATTACATAAAAGCACAACGAACTTTAAATGGCCGATAGTGTGCTGTTGCATGTTAGTATGGTGCACTAACTAGGCGTGTTTCTGCTTAGTAACCTGTACTGCCAGTCTCACCAGCGGCCTGGCGGGCGCGGTGACAGCACTGTGACCTGTGACGCCACTGTGTGTCCGTCTGTCTGTCGACAGCCAGTCAACCCTGACGTCGGTGACGCTGTCGACCATCGACGGCCGCGGCGGGCGGCTCTCGGTCTCCTCGTCATTGGACGCGCTGCCGCTGGCCGGCCGCCGCTCCGTGATGTCCGTCCAGCCCTGCTCACCGGGCAGCGACGGCGAGGTGCAGGTCCTCTCACCGCGTGAGTTCGCCCTCCCACCCGGGCCTCTCACCGTTCTTCCTCCCACCCGGGTCTTCCAGCGCGTGGGCTTTGCCCCCACACCCGGGCCTCTCGTTGCAATGCGCAGTGGGCTCCTGCTTTCTGAAAAGGCTGTCAGGAAAAGTGATAGGAAGTCTTTTATGGATGGGGTGGAGTGAAGGTATATTATGCACGAATCATGACACGTTCTTTGATTTATGATCATGACTGATTGTCACTCCAACGGTAGAGTGTCACTAAGCTATGAATAGTGCAACAGCGATCGCAAACATGACATCGCTGCGTGTTTCACTGTTACCACTATTTTGTCTGTGTTTCCGTACTTACCTGAGCGGGGCGCTGTGTCTGCTGTCCGTTAGCCGTGCCGCGGCTGGCCACGGTGCCGGAGTTCACGTCTCCGGACGGCCGGCCGCCGCGGCCGCACGGCCAGCCGGCGGCCGTCTCCTCGCTGCGCACGGACCTGGACGAGTCGGTGGGCTCGCAGCTGCCGCCGGGCCTGGTCAGCCCGCCGGCGGCCACCTCCACGCAGGCGGAGCGCTCGGCCGCCTCGCAGAGCTCGAGCGCCAGTCATGTGACCGGCTCGACACCGAGTCCCGAGGTGGCGCTGCAGCCGGCGCTGCCGGTCCGCCCGCTCACCGACCAGGAGGAGGAACAACTGAGCGAGCACGAGCAGAGTGAGCTGGCGCACAGGACACTGGAGCCCGGTGAGTCAGCGGCGGCCGGCGGCGGGTGCGAACTGACGGCGGGGTACAGCCGGGTAACTTCACTGGTCTGCGGGGTGGAGAGTGCTCTTGCTCCTGACTACTGAGTGGGTGGTAATCCATTATCTGCACTCCGCAGTGTATCTCAGTCACAGCGTCAGCCGGTGGCCGTGTGTGTGACTGCCGCTGTCCCGGACCGCTGTGAGCTCTGACCCGCTCCTGCGCGCAGACATGCCGTGTTTCGCGCTGTGGGCCGACCGCACCTACTACCCGGGCCGACTGGTGTCCGAGGCACGCGCCGATCGCTGGCTGGTGAGGTTCGACGACGGCTCGGAGCGACACGTGCCGGCCGACCACGTGCTGCCTGTCACCAACCTGTGGAAGGGCCTGTCTGTGTTCGTGCAGAACCAGCGCAACGTCTACGAGGCGGGCCTCATCACCGGACACCGCATGTGAGCGAGCCGACCGGGGGGGGGGGGGGGGAGGTCCGCGGCGTCCACAGGGCGGCGACTCAGTCGGACGGAACGGGAAGGCCGGGGCGACCACACTGACTTCCGGTCAGATAGGCGTTATTCCCGAGGGGCATGGTTCCATTAGCTCAGAGTGACTGGCAATGACGCGTATTTGTTATTGCCAGTCACTCGTATTGCGTGCCAGCGATACGGCGCTGTCGTCGCGCTGTTGCCACTGACGGTGGTCCGGCCCGCGGTCTGAAGTAGTGACCGCCTGTCCGTGTGTGTCGCGCTCCGCTAGTGACCTCTGTGTGTGACCGAACCCGTGTGCCGCGGCACCCCGCGAGTGAGGTCTGTGTGTGCCGCCGGATCCGTGTGTGACCGGACCCTGTGTGCCTCCGGACCGTGTGTGACCCCTGTCGGTGCCGCAGGTCTTCGGGCGCCGAGCCGCTCGAGTACATCGTCTCGCTGGACTCTCAGCCGAGCGTGATGAGCGCCGTGCCCCGCTCGTGGCTGTCGCTGACTATGGACCAGGCGGCCCTGGTGCGCGAGCGGCGCCAGCCCAGCCTGGGACAGCTGGCCGTCGGGTCGCCCTCCCGGCACCTCAGTCTCGGTTAGTGGAGTCGGGGGAGGAGGCCACTCAGTCTCGGTTAGTGGAGGGGGGGGGGGCACTCAGTCTCTGTTAATGGAGACTAGGGAGGGGAGTTTAGTCTCAGTAAGTCGGAGATTTAGTCTTAGTCGACCAGTGGGCGGATTCAATCTCAGTCAGTGGGAGAATCAGTCTCAGTCGGACAGATAGGGGACGGAGTCGTCTTTGTGTTATATTTCGCCATAAATAGGCATGCAACGTTTCTATATCGGCTCCTTATCCGCGGTGGTCGACATGTCTCTCTGTGTGTGTGTGCCGCAGATAACCTGGTGACGGGTCGGCGCCGGGCGGCCGGGCCCGCCGGCGGACGCCGGCTAGCCAACTTTGAGGCCAGCGCCAGTGACGCGGCTGCCGACACCGCCTCTGGCGACACGTCGAGAACGCGCCGCGCCGGTCAGTGAGGGGGCGGCAGGCGGGGCAGAGGTACCTATACCCAGCGCCTGCGCTTCTCGGGGATTTACAATGCCTATCAGGCTAGTGAACGAAACTGAGCAGTAACACAGGACAGGATGAGCAGTCAATGTTACCAGTCATATTTTAAATTGATTGCCTTTCTCTGATCCTGTTTTATTATTCGATTATAGTTTTTTTTTTCTCGCGAGACTGAGTGACGTGCAGACTTCCAATAACATCAGGTTGTCAGTCAGCTCACGTCTATCTTCTGGTCGCAGGCTCCAAGTCGTCACTGTCTCGCCGTAAGAAGGGCGCAGCGAAGAAGGCGGTCACCATCGCGCCTGGGCCGGCCACGGACCTGTCAGCTGCCGCCGAGCCCGCCGGCGCTGCGGAGGCCGGGGCGGCGACAACTAACGGCGACTCGAGCGGAGCGCCGGAGGACGCCGAGCCGCCGCCGGAGGGCGGGACGGCCGCCCCCGCCAGGAGGACCCCCGCCAAAGGCAAGCGCGCCAGGCTGCAGCGGGGCTCCAAGGCGGACAGGTCGGGCGACGGCTCCCCGGCGGCCGGCAGTCCGAGCACGCCGGGCCCGTCGGCGGCCGGGTCCGCAGGTGAGCCGGGACGGTGGCCTTTTAACCACTAATGTTCATAATGCAGAAGCATTCAGTCGCTGCTCTAATTAAGCTTCAGAATTATTGAGAAGAAATATTTGACTTGCTGCTAAGGTGGAATAATCTATTAGATTGTATTATTTGTCGACATAGTCATGTTTGATTTGTCCTTCGTCCCGTTGGCGAAGCCCATTGGTCAGTTGGTTACCCTGATGACCCAGTGACCCACCAGTCGCTCCTTGCCGGTCGCCTGTGGGGCTCGCCGCGTCTCTGACCGGCCCTCTCCCAGCCCCGGTCAGTGGGATACCCAGGTGATCGGGTACAGTCGTCTCTCGCCGGCCCCTGCGCGGCTCGCCGTGTCTCTAACCACCCGTCCGCCCCTCCCCCGTGCTCCAGCCAAGTCGCCGACGGCGAGCGGCCGCCGCGGCTCGCGGCAGAAAGCGGCCTCAACCCCATCAACGAGCACGGCGACTGGTGAGTACCGGACTCCCCCCCCCCCCCCGAGATTCCGGGCTCCGCGACTGGTAGACATCGCCGCTTCCTAAGAGACTTCCAGGGATGACACTTGATTATGAATGGTGTTTTAAATTACATTTATCAATTTATATTTATTCGTATTCGTTTGGGCAATATGCAATGTTTCATGCACTCGATACGCCTTCTAAATGACTCCGTGAACTGGCGAAAGTGACAGTGACCCGTTTACGCTTTGTTCGGTCAGTTTTGAAATGTTTACTCTCTCACTCCGAAAAAGGTCTCCGTTAGGTGAAAGGTCTATCAGAAGTGTTGCTGCTGCCGAAGTGTCGAGTCACTACCTTAATGGTTTCCTCGGTGCACAGCGATTGTTTTGTGCAATAGGCCAGCCCAGTATAAGTGCGGTTCTGGTGCAAAAACTGCATGTGGGAAACGTAAAGTCACGCTCCGTTTGTTGAAAATCGATGAGAAGGAAGGGACATCAGTAAATTTCCCTTCGTAATTACACCGACTTCGTTTGGTCACTCGTATTTTTTTGCTGAAAATATTGTCAGTTTTGAAGACGCATTTTTTAACCGTCAGTGCAGTTTAGATAAGCTGAAGTTCCGCATTGGGCAACGCTAAAGGATTGTCCTTATTGCGCTGCGAAGAGTTGCATTAGTTGATGAGTGAAGATCAGAAGTAAAGGCTCAATCCTTTCATAGATGAAAAGGCTTCCTTTTCATCTATGATCTGGTAGAGTGTGTGATGATAGTGCTTAGTCTGACCGGAGGTAGGTTTGTCTAAAGAAAGCTCGGAGCACGCCATGCGTATCGCCACATCAATGTGAGAAACTTTCCGCACGGTTCTGTGAGCTTTCCCACATCAGCCAAGTATACTTATCTATCATAAACGTGGAACACTCGCTGCGATTTCTCCTAGCAGCGGCAATTAATAGGAGACGCCAGATGCGTCATGTCTGGTGACAGTGCAATTCGCCGGTGCAGCTGGCGGGGAAACTGCGGCGGCGTCCTCGTCCGGTGGCGGGGACTCGTCCAGGGTGTTATGAATCGTCCACGGGGACTCGCTACTGGTCCCGCTGCCGCTGTTGCCTAATCTGTGGCCCGCAGTCCGCGGCTGTCACGGCCACCGGCGGGTCTCCAAAGCAGCGTGTTCCGCTGTACCCTCGCTCTGCGCCGCCCAGGGCCGGAGCGACCTCTCCGGCCACACAGGCAGTGGATCTCCCTCACATTAGCGAGCTCCGACGAACCCACGCTGTGCAGGGTGACCGGCGTGCCGTGGCCAGAGCGGCTTTTCCGGCCATACATTGGGTCTCTCCCGCTCCATAGTCAGACGTTAGCCTGTGAGCCGTTAGGATCTGATATATCTCTGCATGGTATCCGTATAGGAGATCTCTACAGCTTGGCATGCTCTGCTTACGGAGACGAAAAGGCGCTGTGCAGGCTGTCAGTGTGCGGAAACTTGTGTCCGTCAGTTCATAGGACTCCCTCGTGCTACTGGGAAATGAGTTATTCGTAAACATGTCGAAATCTATTCAATTCCTGTTCGACTACTGTCGACGTAATGCCTTTGACATTACGTTATATGAGAGCATCACGATCGCCTTTGGAGCTGTGGTGAAACGAAAAGTGTCGTTTGCCGCGTGTCTGGGGCGTGATGGAGTAAAGTCACACTCGGTCGCGGCTGACTGGACGTCCACGCTCGCTGCGCCGCCGGCCGGCCGGTGTGGTGGGCGGTCGGTTTCGGTGCCGGCCGGCGTGCTGGGAGAGTGGGTCCCGCCGTGTCAGTTTGGTCCGGGCGGCGGCGGCGCGCGCTCCTGCTCGCCATGTCCTGGTCGGCGGCGGCGGCGGCGGCGGTGGTGTGTCTGTCGCTGCTGGCGGCGGCCGGCCCGGCGCGGATCTCTGAGCCACTCTACCAGCGCGAGTTCACGCGCGTGAACCTGCAGCGGGCGGCGCGCCGCTCGGAGTCTCGGCTGCCGCCGGTGCCGGCGCGGCCGCGCTCCGTGGACTTCTCGTCCGGCGCCGGCGGTCGGTACGACTCTGACTCGGAGTACGACTCGGAGGCGGCGCTCGGCTGGTTCCCCTATCTGGTGCTGGCCGTGTTCGTGGCCTGCGCCGGCTGTCTGGTCAGCTATGTGTCGGTGCGCGTGGCCGGCTGTGTGCGCGCGCGCCGCCGCTCGGGCGCCGCCGGCCGCCGGCGCATCCTGCGCGACCACGAGTCAGAGCTGTTCGACTCGCTGGCCAGCGAGTCGCGCTCCGAGTCGGCCGAGTCACGCTCCGAGTCCACCGAGTCGGAGTCACGCTCGCCGACCGACTCTATCGAGCCGCGCTCGCCGGTCACATCCGACTCTGCCGAGTCGCGGTCCTCCGCCGGCCGGGACCCGGCCGAGTCAGAGTCGCCCACCGCCCGGGGCTCGAGCGAGTCACAGACACCCTCTGGACGAGACTCGTTAGAGTCGCGGTCCCCGTCTGGGCCCGACCCGGTCCAGACCAGATGACTGGGTGGGACCTTGACCACTAGTCTCAGTGGAAGTGCCGTCTCCGGCGCTGACGCCACGTGACCAGGACAGGAGGGAGGACAGTCTGTCGGCGGCGCAGTGTCGGCTGGCCAGTGATGACTGTGTTAGTGATACCTGGACAGTGATGTGGGTGTCACCTGGACGGCGGTATCGGTGATTCCTGAACAGTGGGCTCGTCAATACCTGGTCAGCCGTGTCGCCGATGTTGAACAGCTGTGTCACTGATAGATGGTCAGCTGTCAGCTGTGTCGATGGTGCTGAACGGCGGTGTCGCTGATACTTGGACTGCGCCCGGACCGCATTGTCGGTGACACTCGGAAAGCAATGTCAGTTATACCCGGACAGCAGTTCCGGTGGTGCTGAACAGCGGCGCGGTGATGCCTAACAGCGGTGTCGGTGATGCCCGGTCAGCAGTTCCGGTGCTAGGTACCGTTTATATCCCGACAGCGTTGCAAGTGTTGCCGATGATTAGTGGTTGCGTGCTGGTGCGTTCCACTCGACTGAGCCGGGTGACATTGATCACACGAGGTATCATCACTGGACGGCAGCAGGGACCATCCCGAGGCTTTCGCCGCCTAATTAGACGGACAGACCGCTGTGGGTCACATGGTGCCGTAAAGTTACAAACTGGTGGCGTTGTGCTGCGACTACCGCCGGTGGTTTGCTATAAGTCTTTGCAGTTGTTGGTCGCCTCAGGCTGGTGGCGTGTGCAATAATTGGTCAGACCTGTGATGGAATGAGTCGATTAGCCTGGATTTTATCTAATTAGATCCCGCCGCCGCTGGACGGCGGCCATGGCCCCTCTCCGCCGCGCTGGCCGGCTCCGCGTCTGGCCGTGAAAGTGTGCCGGCTGCGGCGCCGCGGTCTGCGGTGGCGGGCGGACGGACGGCCCGGCGGTCCCAGTGCGTGCGGCGCGTGCCGGCCGCCGGCGGTGCCCGCGCCGTGTGTGTGCCGGCTGGCAGGCGGTCCGGCGGCTCCTCCGCCAGCCGCAGTGGGCCGTGGGAGCGCGCAGTGGTGGAGTGTTGGGTGTCGGCCGGAGGCGCTGGGAACTCGGCCGCTCTCCACGGCCCGCTGCGAGATGCGCTGCCGCCTCTACCGTCTCTCGTTCGGGCTCCCGGCCGTTCGGTTTGAGAGGGGCCCAATTACGGCCTTCCGCTCTCCTGCTGGGTAGCGTATGGCGCGTTTGTCCGGCGGTGCCGCCGTTCAGATATTACCGTGAGGCCGCCCTAAATATTGTCGTGTGAAGTTTCACGGGTCATAAATGCATGCATGATGGAAGGAGCTGCGTGTTAACCTGTACACAAGTGTCTTGTTTATACTTATTTAATCATTTTACATGTTGTTTGGTGACGTGTGGTCGTTCTACATGACAGGAAGGCATCTTATATCCAAAGGTTATATGTTGTCTGTGGCAAAGGCTCATAGTATCTTGCTACAGGGTGACACAAAAAAAACGGTCATCACCAAATTTCGAATAACTTCGGAAGTTTTATTCAGATCATCACCAAACTTCGGCCACTTAAGGTCACACCTATGCAGCATACATCCACCAAGTTTCAAGTCTTCACTACGAATACTTTTAGTACAGTGTGTGTTTTACTGACGCTCCACAATGTGCTCAAGGTGAGCGCCACGGCGCTGCAGGGCGTAGGCACACTTGCATCCGGCGGGCAAAGTTGTCGATAACCCGATGGCTGTGCACTTTGCAGAGTGCAATGGCCTCTGGAGACAGTGCTCGGGGGGTGTGCTACCCCTGAAACGTTATTTTTATCGGGTTATCGACAACTTTGCCCGCCGGATGCAGGTGTGCCTACGCCCTGCAGCGCCGGGGCGCTCACCTGGAGCACATTGTGGAGCGTCCGTAAAAGACACGCTGTACTAAAAGTATTCGTGGTGAAGACTTGAAACTTGGTGGATGTCTGCTACATAGGTGTGACCTAAAGTGGCCGAAGTTTGGTAATGATCTGAATAAAACTTCCGAAGTTATTCGAATTTTGGTGATGACCGTTTTTTGTGTCACCCTGTATGTTGTATTTCATTCATGGTTTGCATTCGTGGACCTATGTGAATTTTATTTGTTCATGGATGAATGGGCCATTGAAGGATCACGGTGTATGAGCGGCTGAGTTTGTCTTCACTGCAATGGGTGCTCATCGACATTGAACTAAATGTTTATTGGCATAGATGTCGTTTTAAATATGTAGCTGGCGAGGTCCGAGCCGTACCAATAGTTTCGGTGACCAATACCTTACGACATTTCCATAGTATGAATGACGTTGATGCCCTTGCAATTGAGCATTGAACCCTACCAATAAATTTCCCAGAGTGACGCCCGTCTTAGTGTATTTCGGTAGCAGACTATGTGGGAAATATCACGTCAAGAGCGACGACGGAAGGTGGCGGAACCCTTACTTTCTGTTCTTTTCTACAGGGTGCTCCATTAAGCTGGCTACTGTATTCACTGAATAATTTTTTTCCGAATCTAACTGTTGTTAAGCCTCTGCTCACGCCTCACACATCATTTGAGATCTCGGTCGATGTCAAATTGTCTTATAACTCCTCCCGGCTTATGATTACGTAAGACAACGGGGTGTGGATAATTGTCCTGCTGGCCATGCCTACTGCTTATTGTATGCACGCCACTGCACCGTGGCGAAGGACCGGTGCAAGTGAGAAACGTAAGCACCGAGCATTATCTGATGGGTCCGGAATTGTGTAACACTGGCAAGCGGTAATATCAGCCATTGCTTCTCAACCCACATATGCTAACAAGGGTTGTGCAGTAAGATTTTGCCAATTGTGGATTAATTGTGAATAGAATCCCACTAGCAGCAGTGTTTGTAATTAACAAAGCGTTTTCTGTTTTCTGCTTTTCCCAGCCGGCGGCGTGGAGGTGGCGTCGAGCTCTGCGACGCCCAGCGGACGAAAGAAGCGCGTCACCGCCTCCACGCCCACCGAAGAGGCCGCTGCCGCCGCCGCCACACCCAGCGGACGGGCCAGGAAGCGCGCCACGACCTCCACACCGACAGACGAGGCTGCTGCCGCCTCTGCCGCAGCCACTGCGACGCCCAGCGGACGAAAGAAGCGCGCTACTTCGGCCCAGAAGGCTGCCGAAGCTGCGGCCAAACGGGCCAGCGGCTCGGCACAGAAGGCCTCGCAGCCCATAGCGACGCCGGTGAGCCGCAGCGGCCGCGGGAGGAAGCGGGCTGGTCCGGCCAGCCCTGCCACCGAGGAGCCGTCCCCGCCGGGCAAGCAGCCGGCCGGCCCGGCGGTAGCGGCCACCCCCGGCCGCCGCAGCCGCAAACGGCTGGCGCTGAGCCCGTCCGCCGAGCCCAGCGCGACCGAATCCAGCCACGCCGAGGGTGAGTTCCACGAGTCTTACCGTCTCCGGTCACACCCAGGGCGGGTCCCCTCCCCGCGGAGCTCCGCCGGTGGCGGCTCCGCGTCACGATATCATCCTAGAACACCGCCGGTTCAGCGGATCATAGATGCGCGTGGTCTTTTGAATTCTTCAGGGGCAAATAAGGGATTACAGCAATGTCCAAAAAGACTGACTAATTAAATTGAATTAACATTATTGGCAGACACCAGTCATTTTAAAATACTTTGTGAATGACCTCTCCTTGAAATTGTATGTAGGATATATTTTACAAAAAGTCAAATACAGAAAGAAATCAAGTACAATACAGAAAAAATCAAGGAGAAATACAGAAAATACAGAAAATATCAAGAATAATAATACAGAGAGAGAAAAAAAACAAGGAGAGGTCATTCACAAAGTATTTCAAAGTACAAATGCTCCTTGCATAAGCACTAAGAGGACTGAAAGGTACCATTCATTCATGCATCCATACTTCACTATCAATCAGAACTCGATAGTGAGTTTATCATCGCTGTCATGAGTGTCAAGTGTCTGTCCCGCACTCCCTGCTGACCACACTACCAGGTCAGCGGATCGCACCGGTGTAACAGCCGCTCTCCACTGCTCGTGGCTGACGGCGATTGCTCTCCGGCAGAGGGCGCGCCTCCGGTGCGGCCGCTGGGAGATCTACCCGACGCTCCGAGCTCCCTGTTCGCCAGTAAGTCCAAACGAACTACTCCGTCTTTGTGCTCCTAGGGAAACGAGTGTGAAGTCTTGCTGACTGGCAGTGTCATTTTTTAGTCTGCAGATATGTCAAGACTAGACGCACAACTGTAGGAATTGGAATGATTTTCTTAAATTTGCATTGGATAGATTCAATGTATTATTTATAGCTGATTCATGCAACTACGCAGCATTTTCAGCATATTGTCTATAGAAACTAAGCCTTTCTGTACAAACTTGGTGATGTCGTTTTTACCATGATATAGAATGTGTGCCTTATTCGTACACTCTAAGTCGTACATTCCTAAACTGACGTTGGTATAGCCTGACTCCGCGTGCATACACGTCGGCAGAGACAGTTCCTAGAAAGAGACCGCCGCGGTCGGCGGCCGACGGGCTGGGAGCTGACGCGCCGCTCCCGCCCCCGCCCCCGCCCCCTGTCCACAGAGCACACCTTCATCCTGACGAACGGCGGCGCCGCTCACGGAGACGCCTACCGGAAGCGTATGAAAAGGAAACTGCGCCGTAAGGCCCGCCGCCGGGGAACGGGACGGTGGGGTTACGACGCGCTGTGGGCTGAATCCTATGGCTGTCACGATCCTGGATGGTGCTTTGTTCAATTTGTTGCTCTTGTACATAGTTTGCTATTGCCAGTGCCGTGTTGAGAGGACATTATTGAGCGATTTTGTGTGGTAACTATTGATGCTTGTACTTCATTCACCACATAAAGACAGGTGAATGCCCGACAATTACTTTGTCCCGGTGTCGTCCGTGATTTCTTTTGCCACTAACAAGCTGAGATTGAACTCGTGGAATGGTGTTGCTTAGTGACTTGTTACAACTTCGTCCTTTAGTTGTTAACTCGACTTGAAGTTTGAGCCACATCGGGCTTCGTTTTCCGTCAAGTCTGACGTCCTTCCAGTGACTGTTGGTTCTGTGAGACGTAAGTGTCAGATGCATCTGACCTCCTCCTCAGTGTTCCTCCGTCGGACCCGACCCCGCCTCCCGTCACGCCCGTCCACTGGCCGTCCGTCCCGTCCGCTGACCGTCCGCTGACCGTCCGCCGGCAGCGCCGTTCGACAAGGAGCACGTGACGGAGCACATCGAGGCGCGCTGTGGCCGTGTGCTCTCGGACACCACGCTGACGCCGGAGGCGCTGGAGCGGGTGCGCGGTCAGGGCGACCTGCTGCTGCTGGCTAACGGGCCGGTGCGCACGCCCAAGTACATCTCCTGCCTGGCGATGGGCGTGCCGTGTGTGCTGTATACCTGGCTGGTGGACTCCATCCGACGGGTGAGTGGGCCGGACGGCCGGCTGTGCCGCGCTGCTGACTACAGGGTGCGCGGAAAGTCCTGGCGCTTTTCAGCATTTTTTGTTTAAATGCCATTGGTTCATAGATACTCAACAATACATTGAAACAAGGAACAGGGACACCAAGCCACATACTTCCGCCACGAGTTTATTCGCTACAACCACCGTCTGCGCCGACGACAGCCTCGGCGTAGGGGAGGAAGCGCCTGCGGGTTTTTACGGAGTATGACATTTCTAGGTCCTCCCATGGTGTCATGATGCGAGCCTCCAGCGATTCCAGGTTGGGGTGAGAGATAGCCTGGATCCTGTTCTGCAAAACGCGTAACATGCCTTAGTCGAGTGGATTAGGCTAGGAGAATAAGGCGGCCCAATCTCATTTCGCCACGGTGATCTGGTCCGCCGAGCTACTCTGTCAGTTTGACTTGGACGGCAACGGAATTGATGGAGGGCGCTCGGTGCTATTGAAATGCGAAGTGACCTTTAGGGTAACTCCGAGGAACCCCTCGTGGACCAGCCTGTTATTCATTTATTTGACATTGACGAAGATGATGGAACATTTGTGTCCATCAGACCCCCGGATTTTCTTCAATTGCCGCTGAAATGCTGCTTCAATCTCGGCAGTTTCGGCATACCGTGGTCGTACCTGATTGATAATATTTTCTAATAAATTTTCGAGTCGGAATACACCTTTGCCTGCTCGACCGTTCGTCGAAAAATGCCGCATCGCGCTGCAACTCGCACCTCCCTCAGGCCGCACGCGGGCTCTCAGCGACAAGGCGCATCTACATCACCGTACCCATCACTGAAAACGATTTCATGGTCATATTTATGCGACCCCTAGCTGAGCGGTGAACGAGGGGTCATGACTGTGGTGATTGGTTGCATGTCCAGTAATCGCAGCGCTCGTTAGACGACGCCCAAAAGAAGCGCTAGGACTTTCCGCGCACCCTGTACTAGCCCGCGCCCCGTTGGGGTCTGCCGAGCAACCCGCCCGGTTGGGGGGGGGGCAATTTGCCCCCCCCTAAGATCTCGAGAACCACGCAACATAGCGACAAGCGGCAAACGGCGTTGGATAGTCCCAACAGGGAACTACCTTTTGACCAAATTTTATTGACCTAGGTCAAACCGATGACGTCACAGGTCAGGTCAAAGGTCGAATTTTCACCGTTTACAGGCATTTCAAGAAATGCGTTGTAAAATCGAATAAAATGCATTTCATTAAAAATCATCGATGGGGTATTGTTCGTCAAACACATATTTTGCTATTTGAGGTCACTGATACCAGGTCAGGTCACAGAGGTCAGGTCACTGGGGTCACAATATGAAGATATCATGTGATACATGTTTTATGGTCCATTTTAAATGTCAAATGCGATTATATGGGACAGGCAGCCCTTGGGGTCAGTTTAGATTATGTTTTGGTGAAGGTCAGGTTAAGGTCAGGTCAAATAAGGTCAAATTTCAAAGTTGATATGTTTGCATAAAATGGGTAACGATTCGATGCAGCTCGTCACGGGGAGTTCAATGGTGGTCTTGGTTTTGCGCTACGTGCTCTAGAATGGCCAAAAATTGAGTTCAAAAATTTGACGTCATCAATTTTAAACGTTTTTTTTTTTTTTTGCTATAACTTGGCCAAAACTAGAAGTATCGATCTAAAAATTTGTATGTGGATAGAAGAGCGGAGGGACTATCAGTTATCACATATCGATACTTCTTTTTTAAACCCCACATTTGTTCTCCCGTGAAGTTCAGACAAGTTGTTTAGAAACCTTCAAAAAAGGTACAGTCACTCGATTTTTCTCAAGTTTGTCTGTCTTGGCAGATCAAGCAATGCCAGAGCAAGCTTACGAACACACAAATTTGATCAGGATCGGACGATTGGACACTTCTAAAAACAGATCTTTCGTGCTTCCCGGAAATTCACCGGAGAACAGATGTGTTGTTTTAAAAAAAAGGTGTCGATATATTCCGTTTTTTTGTTAATTAAAAAAATGTTTTCCCCGTTTTTCTCAAAAAATCAGTTTTGAATTTTTGAGGGTCAAAATCCAAAAATTTTGAAAATACGAGATAGCAGTTTTGTAGCGCCGTCTTTTCTCTACGTGACCATAATGACCAACTTTGAAATTGCTAAGTAACTAGCTTTGGTGAGCGTTTCAAAATTTCATGTTTTTTGCTCATTTTTGCTCGAACATGACCTCAGTTTGACCTCAATAACTCCTGACCTAAGGTGACCTAAGACTTGAAATTTTGTGTGGAGGTGTCAAATTGATGCCCGATAAGATACTGAACATTTGGCGGCGCTGCGCGCCGCCGTTTTCTTGCTATTTAGGAAAAACCACAGGGGAGCAAATTGCCCCCCCCCCCCCAACGGGGCGAGGGCTAGCCGAGACTGAGTCGGCGCCGGCTAGCGTGTCGTTAGTGTGTCTCAGAGTATCGTAGTGGAGCCGTGTGTCCTGTGCTCGGCTGTCTGCCGTGTCGGGTCTGCGCCGACTGTCCGCTGTCGGTCCGGCAGAACGAGTGCCTGCCGTACGAGGACTACCTGCTACCGGCCGGCTTCGACCCGGCCACGGGCGAGGAACTGGAGCAGCTGCTGGGGCCGGCTGGGGCGCCGCCGCTGGCCGGGCTCTGCGTGCTGCTGGCCGCCGCGTCCGACTCAGAGTGGGGCCACATGATGGCCGATGTGCTGGCCGCCGCCGGAGCGCGCGTCAAACTGGAACACCAGGTGAGCCCGACACCGACCGGCGATCTGGTGACTGGTGAGGACCGGTCTAACGAGCTGTAACGGGCACAGTTTGCTTGCTGACGGGCCAGACGGGGCAGCCGCTGTTCGCTGACACTGTGTGAAACTTTGTGCTGAGTGTTTTTTTTATATTGTGTAATGTTGTAATAGCTGACACTGTGTGATGACACTGTACGCTGACACTATATAGTGTATACCGTATACTATTACTGACTGGGGGGGGGGGGGGGGTGCTGGTGGCAGAACACGGTGGCGGCGGCGCTGACACTATGTGACGCTGTGCGCTGACACTATGTGACGCTGTGCGCTGACACTGTGATGGTGTGCTCTGACGCTGTATGACGCCGGCGGCAGGACCCGGCGGCGGCGGCGCTGCCGTTCGCGCCGGACGTGGTGGTGGCCGAGGCCGACTGCCCGGCGCCGGTGCTCAGCTGGGCGCGCCTCTGCGAGACGCCCGTGGTCTCCGGCGAGTGGGTGGTCGGCTGTGTGGTGGCGCACTGCCGGCTGGACTACCGCGCCCGGCCAGAGTTCGACCACAGCGTGCGGCCGGCCACCGGCTGACGCGGCGGACGGCAGACCCCTGCCGACGGCTGCTGACCACTGCTGGTGGCGGCCGGCGGACCCCACCCACTGCCGGCGGCGGACGTCTGCCCACTACCCGTGAGGGATGTCACCCACCGCCGACCCTACCCCGCGGAATACTGCGCGATTCCGCTGTCACACCGCAGTTTCATCTGCAACACAAACTTGATACTGCTTTTAGCCGAGTTTTTTTTCAGCGTTTGTTGGGGTCGCTGGGTAATCTCAGCGATTTCCGTTAGCTCTTTGCGTCAGTACCGTTGCTTGTTGGCGCTGGCCTGTGGTGTCGCTGGCCTGTGGTGTCGCTGGCCTAAGGTTTCGCTGGCCTAAGGTTTCGCTGGCCTAAGGTTTCGCTGGCCTGTGGTGTCGCTGGCCTGTGGTGTCGCTGGCCTGTGGTGTCGCTGGCCTAAGGTTTCGCTGGCCTATGGTGTCGCTTTGGCCGGCCGCTGTGAGCTGATCCAGCAGCTGTGACGTGGTGCCACTGGCGGGACTCTGCGGGCCGGGACTGCACGGGGATGGCTGTGAGCGGGGCCCGGGAGTGGGGTCCGACCCCGGTGCGTATCGTCTGGACCCGGTGGACCGTCCGCGCGCCGGTCGCCTGGGAGTACCAGTGACCCGAGACTTCACTGCCGCCGCGGCGCATCGCAGTTGGGGTGATTTTAAGTCGAGACGAAATGTTTGCGGGCGTAGTGTTTTAGAAGCGAGTTGTTGTTCCATCGGTATGATGGTGTGCCGTTTTTGCTGCTTGCTCAGCTCGACGACAGGCTTGTTCGCCGAAACGGCATGTGTAAATTCTCTTCACCTCCCACCTGCATTGCAACGCATTTGTTCCCACTCATGACACATGTGAAGTGTGAGTTGTTAGTGTAAGGCTCGATTTAAATCATATCATCGCTTCTAGAGGCTTACGTCTGAACGTTGCAATATATGCGAGCTTGACAACGAGGTCTGCATTCAATGTCTCTGCTTGTGGCCACTTTGTTTTACGTTTTGGAACAAACATTTATAAACTAAGCGACTACCGAATAGCGCGAGGGCTCTCCCTTATGTCCCCAAACGTCGGTCGCCTACTGCTGCTGAAGTTAGGGTGAAATACCTTGACATCGCCGCCTTTACGAATCACTTATCCCACCAGTGGAACACTTACTACTTCTTCCTTCACTCATCGCAGCGATTAGTCGACTCTTTATTACTAATTATCAAAAAGTGCGCCGCAGAGCTGCATAACGCCATGAACAATACTATGAATCGACTATGGATAAGTAATTGCTGGTGGTTGTGTACACTGTACATTGTGCGTGCCGGCTCGTTATCGCTTCTATCCCGTCTCTCATCTTTGTCGAGTATCAATTAGTCTGAATCGGAACCGAGGAATGTTGACAGGAGCATCCGCTCCGCGGTTACATTCTACGAAGCCGACCAAGGTTATGCGTTCTACCTTTGTTTGTTTGTTTGTTTGTTTGTTTTGTTGGGTTAGGCCCTTTCGGTCCAATTAGACCATTTCAGAGCCGGAAGGATGATAGGAATTAGGAGACATTGGTCTGGGCAGGCACCCCAGTAAGTCACCGGGGCTGAGCCCATCCCGAAGGACAGGCCGACCAGCCCCAAGGTACTCGCTGCACCCGGCTACGGGGTGCGTTCCCTCGGGAGCAGCGGAGCCGCTCCAAGGGAGCAGCCCACATGAGATAAAGTTGCCTGTCCGCTTCCAGGCCGGAGGGGGTTGCGGTGTGGAGGAGAAGGATTTCAGCATCCTCAGGATAGAAGCAGGGATAGGGAACGGTCTCTACTCTCCACCTTGGTTCTATACCGAGCGCTGACCATTTCGTTGCGGTTCTAAAGGGTTTTCGGTCTTTTCCCCCAGCTACCATATGCTGCCATTTGTTGCTTATATGGCGCAACTGATACGATAGCGGCATGACGTTTTTTTCTCGGCGTTGTGAGTGCGGTGAGTGTTGTCTGTGCCGGTTTTTCAATGTAATTTAGCATTTTGAGAAACATTTTCATTAGATCGTGTCAATACTCAAGATTGGTATAGATTTATAGGTCGGAGCTTCGCCGTTATTGCTATGTGTTCTTAGTAACACAGATGAGCTACTGGAAGCCACTCTGATTCAATAATCACTAAACTAAACTTTTCGTCAACATGTTTCCTTGAGTTCTTTTATCATTTTGATAGTTTGAGCTTACAGTCCAGTAAAAAGGGAAAAAGATTTAAAAAAGGGAAAGTTAAAGGGAGTTGCGAATAGTGTGTATTTTTACTGTATGCAAATTATGCGTGCAATTGCAGCTGTAGCAGGTGCTGTGACTTCGCATGTGACGCTATTTGAAAAGTTATGGTATGGTTTTTGAGGGTCAACACTGCTCAGAGTGTTGACCTATGAACAAAACCGATTCAATGCATTTATGTTGAGCTTGAGTACATGATTAGGATAAAAAGCAGGGGTGTGGAGACGGCACATTTTTGCCCGGCGGAGCCGGAGCAGGAGCCGATATTATTTCTCCGAAGCTGGAGCCGGAGCCAAAGCTGTCTGAAATTTTCATGGCTCCGCATCCCTGATAAAAAGAAGGGATTCACTACAAAGGGAACAAACAATGTATAAATCTCCTAACATTGACACAGCTACCACAGTCAGGACCCCAAGGCCCAAGGTTGATACCTACATCAAAAAGTTAAGAGTCATTTTGGGCTGCCATATTCTGTATTCACCTCAGATTTATGTATTGAGATATATAAAAGAGGCTGGAAAATAAAATATCCTAACTAAGCTTCCTAATTTCAGCTCCCTAGCTGCTTTGTGATATCAGTGACACCATGGAGAGGGACATCAGCAAGACATACCAGTCACCACTGGCCTCACGGTACACATCACCTGAGATGAATTACAACTTTAGTGACCAGAAGAAGTTTTCAACCTGGAGAAAGCTTTGGCTCTATCTTGCTCAAGCAGAAAAGGTAAGCTGCAAAAATAGAAAAATGATGTAGTAAAGCCATAAACATTTTCCTTGTCTGTCAAACATTGGTTGGGTTAAGCAGCAGAGGTACATTCAATCTGCAGAGAAGGTAACTGGCTATGTAAAGCATAAAACAGGAAGGGTCATATTACTGCTAGCCCATGTGATACCTCTGTGACCCACGGCTGTACTGGTGAGCTGTGTGTTAACTGCCGCCGTGGCGTCTCCAGGAGCTGGGTCTGCCGATCACTGACGCCCAGCTGGAGGAGATGGCCGCCCACCTGGACGACGTCGACCTGGCCGCCGCCGCCGAGCACGAGCGACGCGTGCGGCACGACGTCATGGCGCACGTGCACACGTTCGCGGCGGCGTGTCCGCAGGCGGCCGGCGTCATTCACCTGGGCGCCACCTCATGTTTTGTGGGCGACAACACGGTACGTATCGGCAGGGGGAACGGGAGGGGATACGAAGTCGAGGAGCGGAACCAAGTGCGGCCGGGCCGGAGGAGCAGGCGGGGGGGGGGGGGGGGGCGAACCACAGGGCAATCAGCGGTGAGCTCTAAATGTGCGGATGACGTGTGTTCACGGCATGGTAGGTGCTCTGCTGTCAAACGCTGGTCGTCTGGAGAGGGCCAGACCATAGAACCTGGCGAGTGTGAGAGGTTTTAGGTTTGTAATAGTACATTTGTGTCTGAGAGGCACATGGCACCGTCCCACCGTTCGGTCTGTCTGTCTGACGGTCCGTCCGGTTTGTGTGACGGTCCGTCATGCCCCACCGTCTGATCCGCCTGACGAGCAGTCCCGTCTGCCTTCCCATCTGTCTGACGGTCCGCCCGGCTACCAGGACCTGCTGGTGCTGCGGGACGGCCTGGACATCCTGCTGCCGCGGCTGGCGCGCTGCCTGCAGAGGCTGGCCGCGTTCGCCGAGCGGCACGCCGCGCTGCCCACACTGGGTTTCACGCACCTGCAGCCGGCCCAGCTGACCACGGTCGGCAAGCGCGCCTGCCTGTGGCTGCAGGACCTGCTGCAGGACGAGGCGGCGCTGCGCCAGCTGCGGAGCCAGCTGCGCTTCCGCGGCGTCAAGGGCACCACCGGCACGCAGGCCTCGTTCCTGCAGCTGTTGGACGGTGAGCGGGCCGGGGGGAGGGGGAGTGGCGGGAGCAGCTCAGATTGGCGACTCCCGGCGCGTACCGCGGTGATCGGGACAGGGGAGGGGGTACCGCCTTGTCATGGGTGGTGGATAGGCCTGTCAGTGTCCATTGGCGATGCTGGCTGACTTTGCTTGACCTAGCCTGACCGAGCTGACCCGAACTGACCTGAGCCAGTCCGAACTTTTCCTTACCCGAACTGCCCTGATCTGAGCTAACCTGAACGGACTGGACCCAACCTCACCCCCAACTGACCCGACCTGACCTGACTCGACCTGTCCTAGCCCGACCCGACCCGACCCGATCCGACCCGACCTATCCTGAGCACGGCCCCAGCTGAGCTAGCCCGTGATAACCTGCTCTGACCGAACCTTGTTGACGTGACCGGACTGGCGCTGAACTGACCTGCAGTGACGGGGTCTGTCCCGACCTGGCCAGGCCCAACTGGGGCTGAGCTGACCGGAGCTCTGTCGGTCGGCAGGCGACCACGACAAGGTGCAGCGGCTGGACCGTCGGGTCACTGAGCTGGCCGGGTTCAGCTCGTGCTACACCATCTGCGGTCAGACGTACCCGCGTAAAGTGGACGTCCAGGTGGTGCAGGCGCTGGCCGCTCTCGGCGCCACCGCACACAAGGTCAGTTAGAGATGGTGGTGGTGGGGGGGGGGGGGGGATCCGGGTTCGTCCACCGCGCAGAGGCCAGGGTTCGTCAGGTCTGGCTGGGCTCTCAGTTGGGGTCAAGCCAGTGTCCCAAAATTGCATTTTGGCTTGGGTGTCAGAGAAGAAATTGCTTTTCAAAAATGGGGATAAGAGTGGAAAATTGCTGGCCAAGGTGAGGCCCAGAAAGATGGGAAAAGATCGATAGCATTAATTTTTATCAATGCGTGATAAAATATGAGATGTACAACGATTATCCACGCTAATGCTTTTTCTTCGTAATATTGGGAGTGGAAAATTGCTCTTCAAAATTGGAGGTGAGAGTGTGAAATGATATTCATTTGGATGTCGTTTCCCACCCAAAACAACAAATTTTGGAACACTGGGTCACAGGGGTGTAACTTTTGCTTTTGAGATGGGGGTGCACTTGGTGATGGGGGCGACCTTCAATGAGGATAGGGGCGCTTCCAAGGTGCATAGATGGTGCATACATTATACATTAGCGTCGCCACGGGGGACAAGCGGGGCAGCTTGCCCCCCCCCCCGACCGGGCACCCCCTGAGATCAATGCAGACCCGATAAGATTTTGGGGTCGGCAAAAAAATGGGGGTAGTTTTCATGAATGGCTGTAAAGTCAAAATCGGTTGGAGTCGCGAGTCCCAACCAGAGTCGGAGTGAGAGTCGCCAACATTTTCAGGACTTTGACTCCAGGCTCGAACGTATCATAACTTTCATTCAATCCATGTCTTGGCTGGTGTTAGCTGAATTTTACACTCGGTTTTCAACACTGTTGTGGAGCTGGGAGCGACCCCCTTACCTCCTCTCGGGAGCAGCGCTCCGTCCACGCGCAGAGACCGGGTCCGTCTAGTACCTACGCTGACACGAAATTTTAGTGTCAAGACCATTAGCGTCGCCACGGGGGGGGGGGGGCAAGCGGGGCAGCTTGCCCCCCCCCAACCTTCAACCGGGCACCCCCTGAGATCGATGCAGATCCGATGAGATTTTGGGGTCGGCAAGAAGTGGGGGTAGTTTTGAAGAATGGCTGTGAAGTCAAAATCAGTTGGAGTCTTGAGTCCCAGCCAGAGTCGGAGTGAGAGTCGCCAAAACATTCAGGACTTCGACTCCAGATTCGAACATATCAAAACTTCGATTCAATCCATGTCTTAGCTGGTGTTAGCTGAATTTTACACTC